AAAAAAAAAAAAAAACGTAGGATTATGTTAGAGAGAAAAAAAAATGATCATTATAAAATTATTTATTTTAACTCTCTATAGTCCTATGACAATTTTGAAATCTCACATAATTTTACAAAATTACAATTTAATTTTTGTTCAACGATAATGGGTTCCAATAGAATTTTTGTTTTGATAAGAAAATAATTTGGTTCCAATTCAAATTGTGTTCCAATTCAAATTTTGTTTCAATAATTTTAATGTTTCATATAATTTTTGTTTTGATAATAAAATAAAATTATTTATAACTTTTTTTTATATTAAATTTAGCGTTTTCAACAGATCATAGTAAATCTAATATCTGTTAAAAGTTTTGATTTTATTTAATTTTTAATTATATTTATTTAAATTTATTTAAAATTCATTATAAAACATAAATAAAACATACTACAGTGTTTCCTTTGTAAAAATTTAATTAATTATTAATTTATTAAATTTTTATAATAATAAAAAAATATCTTCGGACTATAGAGTGTTAACTCAGTGCAAAACAAACAAAAAATAATAAATAAATAAATAAATAAAATAAAATAAATCACGTGCCACAGGAATTTTCATTAAATTCTTATAAAATATAATTAATTAATTAAAACTCGTATTTGTATATGAGTATCCTTGCATTCTTATAATATCGTATCGAGAATTTATTATTCATACGTGTACCTTACGAATTGACATTACACATATATAAGTCAAATATATATATATATATATATACGTATATATATATACATATAATATAAATCTAACTTGTCGAATAAATTTTGGTTAATTTCTTAATTATCGTAAATCAACAACGTATGGCACAATTTTTCTAATCGGCTCGTTTATATTATACTATATTGACGAGAAAGAAAAATTTTTCGAGACAAACTGCCACACCACGAAGAAACTATCCGACGATAAAATTCTAATCAATCGATAGATCGATCGATATACATGTGTTTTGTTTATCTATAATACATGTATTATAAATTATATTATGAAACACGCGTATATCATTTGAACCGCGATGAATAAATAAAAAGAAATTAAAAAAAAATATATTCAAAAAAAAAAAAAAGAAACAGAAGAAAAATATAAACTATATGAACTTATACAATTTTCCGAAGGAATTTTACATGACGAATTTTTCTCGACATTTGTTGAACGAGTAAACGTGCAACAACAATTTCTTCGATTGTTCAAATTGAAAAATCCTTTTTTTTTTTTTANTCTATAATACATGTATTATAAATTATATTATGAAACACGCGTATATCATTTGAACCGCGATGAATAAATAAAAAGAAATTAAAAAAAAATATATTCAAAAAAAAAAAAAAAAAAGAAACAGAAGAAAATGATAAACAATTTGCATTGAAACAAATTTTCGAAGGAATTTTACTTGACGAATTTTTCTCGACATTTGTTGAACGAGTAAACGTGCAACAACAATTTCTTCGATTGTTCAAATTGAAAAATCCTTTTTTTTTTTTTAATATTTTTTTATTGTTTTTTTTTTTTTTTTTAAATCGATGATACCCGTAACTTTTTTAAAAAAAATTAATCAACAAAATCGTACGAACGAATTAACGATCGCGATAGTGTTTACGATAAATCGTTTGCGAACAGAAATGCAAAAAGACAAATAGAAAATAATTAAGAATAAAATAAATAAATAAAAAGTGAACGAACACGCGCATAACTTGTTCGTTCATTGGCTAATTTGTATATAATTTTTTTTTTTTTTTTTTTATATAATCCTAATTGAGTTTAAACCAATGAGATCAGATGTAAAAGTATTTGTCAATACGTGCAGTGTGTACGATTTTTGTGAAATAAGATCCGTGCATCACTTAAGAAGGATTTGAGAGAATATGTATGTGTGTACGTATGAGTGTTTATGTGTGTGTGTGTGTGTGTGTGWGAGAGAGAGAGAGAGCGAGAGAAGCACAAGAAAAAGTAAAAAGGAGTTTGTCGTTAAGGGAGAAACACCAATGAAGATGTAACAATGTATACACTATACATAATATATGAGTATATGAAAAAAAAAAAAAAGTGAAATAAATCTATACATAAAGAGATAGATTAATATAAAATTTATTGATTTATTTAATGGATGAATAAATTTAAATGCCGATCCTGAGATTACCTGATTATTCAATATTTCAATTTAATTTATATTCATTATTTGATTTATTTAATGAACGATAAATTATAGATGCTGATCCTGAGACTACCTGATTGTTCAATATTTTAATTTATTCATATTTATTATATATATGTATATTTTATTTAATTATATTTTCGAAGAAATGAAATTAGATTGATCCAAGATCTTCAAACAGCGGTGATATAATTTTTATTAATATCAATAAATACTTTTCTTTCTCTGATTACATAACAATCACGATAACGAACAAAATTGAAATATATTATTTAGGAGAATAAAAACTTCCAAATTAATATTTTTTTCCTACTAGCTTATCTTCGAAATAAAAAAAAAAAAAAGGAGGGGTATTTTAAAACGTTTATGGAAATAAAATTCATCCACTCGCATTATAATCAGAGAAATTAAAATTAATATCGTATTTGCATGTACGAGTAATCTGTCATGTATAAATTTTACAAACGTTTAAAAAAAAAAAAAAAAAAAAAAAAAAAAATAAAGATAAAAAGAAAAAGATTTAGAAAAAAAATATCATATTGGTGTATATAAAAAATAATAAAAAAAAAAAATAAAACATATTTGAATAAATAAAAATTCATTCGCGTTGTTTGTTGCTGCTGTCGTTCTAATAAATTTTTAAAATAATAATTGAAAAAAAAATAAATCAGAATATCATCCCTGTTTTTCCTGTGTTACACGACATTACGAAAGATTTTCTTGTTCCTCGTCGTTAACTTCGTGATAATTTGCAACAACACCCTCGGCCATACCATCGATTGGTCCAGCAGCATCCCTACCGACAGCTTCGTCTATGATCATAGCAACATTTGTCTCGGTAGGACCTTCTCCCGCTTGATCAGGTTTACCTCGATTATTTGTAGTAGCTTGTCCTAAATATCAATGACAAGATCTTTAACAATAACTCTCGAATGATTATAAAATAAACCCTATAAAGATTGGGGAATCCACAAGTTTAAAATCATCCTATTAATAACATAAATCCTTGTTTAAAATTAATAATGTTAAGTTACTTTATAAAATCAAACGTTTTGTTTTTCAATTTGTTACTTCAATTAGAAATATTAATCGAGTGTTACCATTAGTAAAAAAAAAAAAAAAATATTTGAATTAGAAAAACAAAACTTCGAATATATAAAAAAATAAGACAGGTAAAAAGGTTTACCTTGACCAAGATCTCGTACTTTGCTCAGATAAGAATACTCTCGTGCATTTGATAGACCTGATATCACACATGCACTAAGTGCACTTCGATTAAGATTCATAGGTGAGGCATCGTACCATTCGTTGCTGTCAGCATCGTAACACTCAACGTAAGCAATAGTAGTCGTACCTAATAGAACAAAATACTATTTCTGATCTACGATGATGATCCAAACCTAATCATCAATAATATCAAACAAAAACTAATATTAAACTGACCATTGAAACCACCAATGACGAATATCATATCGTCGAGAATAACCGTGGCAAAATTACTACGTGGACTGAACATTTCTGTGACCTCCTGCCAATCCTCAGAATTATTTGGACTGTAACGTTCTCCTAAAAGGAGATCAACGAGATGGCTAGAGAAAAAGGTAGAAAGGATTCGCACCTAATTATCGATCGGTATTTCATAAATTTTGAAGAAACCTTCACCGGAACTTAGCCTAATGAAACCATTGAAGCCACCCAATGCGTAAAGACTATCACGAAATGCAACCAATGATACACCGGATCTAGGACTGATCATCGATCTAATGTAACTCCATTGATTGCTTTCAAGATCATAGACTTCAGCCGAGTCGAGAATTTCTTGACCATTGAAACCACCGACTATGTAGATCTTGTTGTTAAGTGCAGCTGCACTTGCATCCGAACGTTGACGATTCATCGAGGGTATCATTTCCCATTGATTTTTCTGAGGCTCGTATCTTTCCGCTGAATTCATTCTGGTTCTTCCATTGTAACCACCCAATGCGTAAATCTTGCCACCTTTATTTTGTTTTGTTTTCATATCATTAATTCAAGGTATGACATTTGTTAGAAATGACAATTTCAATGCAAGGATTTAATCTCACCGTGCGTACAAACGCTAACGTAACACCTAGCGTGATACATGCAAGCTCGTTCACGCCATTCCTTTGTAACTGGATCGAAACACCTTACGGTATTGAAATGTTCATTCCCATCGAATCCCCCAATCATGTAGATGAGATCATTGAGTGCACAAATCCCATGATAAGCTCGTGGTGTTAGATCCGTGCTTACCGACAGAAACCATCTGTCAGCTCTACAATTCATATTTATACACAGGGTGTTATATGATGATTTTGTGAAGACATATATTTTATAATCTTCTAAACCCTTTTCTATCTATTTCTTTGCCACTTAAGGGTGACCCTAATCGTTTAATAACAATCCAATATTACCTAGTATCGTAAGTCTCAACAAAACTAGTTGGAGAACCGGCACTCCAGCCACCAATAGCAAAAAGGATTTCGTAGGGTACTCTTGGTCTTGACAATGGATTCCTCATGTCGATTTCACCATTCTGTTTGCTATCCTGTTCGGTTAAGTAAGTCTTAGCTGACTGTAATATTCGTTGACAGGCCTACAACGTAAAATGAAGACAACGTTTCAAATACAATTTTTATTTGTCTTCATTCTTTTGTCTTCCACTTACATCATCTTCCTTAACGTATTTCCAATTGAGAACATTGTCAAGAAAATAATTGTAACTCATCGATCCGTAACGAATACATTCCAATAATTTTGCCAAATAAATCTTTCTATCATCTATTTTATACTCGATCCAAGTTTTAACAGCCTCGAATACTATTTCCTCGTTTTTAACGTTTAATTCGTCATCCAATAATATCGATTCCAATTCATCCGATTGTAATTCTTTGAACTCGGTACTCTCGTAAAGTATTTGTTTGAAATGATGACGAATGTATCTTCTACCTTTCTCTTCGAGATCCCGACAGAAATAATGACGAGCAAATTTAAATATTCCTAATAATAAAATAATAATTCGATCAAGATTAAGAGATTAATCTTTGATGATGATCATATTGTACCTAAACAATTGTCCGGCTTGAGTTCTTGCAAAAGAAATTGACAACATAATTGAACAACACCGAGTACTTCGAATTGATCAGCCAAAGGTAAAAGTTGTTCAACATTGTCAGCATTAACGTTGCAAGTCCCAGTATAAGCATAATCGAGGATCAGAGCAAAGATTTCACTGGGAACCGAATCGATAACTACCTCGGTAGTCTCACTTTTACCACCCTTGAGGCTGTTAGTGAATAGGGCTTTGAAGTAAGGACTAACCGCGGAAAGTATGGCTCGATGAACAGGAAATAACTCGTCCTTGGCACACCTGATGGCACCGTCGCAAAGCTGTCTATTAGCTCTACAAAAATATAATTAAAAAAGTAAACAAAATATGAATCGTTGACAAAATGAGTATGCCGTCTTCTTGGGGTGTCTTTTTTTTTGAAATAAAAATAGGATTTTGTATTCGAACACCCATTGAGCATATAATTAATAATCCTGCGTGACCAGGTTTAAAGAAAAATAACCTAAGTTCCGACCAGACAACCGGGAACTCGACGAGGGCATAATTGGAGGGGAGACAAACGCACTTCCTCACTCTGGCGGTTTGTTTTCTCTTGCACTGTTTAAGTGCAAGAACAGCTGTTGTATGAAAACGACGTCTAGTTATATTAGATTGAGCAACTATTGTTTCCTGAACGTCATTCTGACGTAATTGTCCATCGGCTCTTGGCCTTGAACCAAATCGTCGACCTGGTAACGACGATAGCAATGGCCGTAAAATAAACAATGGATTTCTTCCTTGTCTTCCTCTAATACTTGCACCACTACTACCACCACCACCACGTCGACGATATATTCCTCTTAAATCTTCCTCCCTAGAATCCTCTTCGCTTTCGTTATCAAAGCCAGTCCAAACGTAACCGCGGAGACTCGCGGCCATGACAGACGAAGCCCGAAATTTTCAACATTTGTGTTTATCCGATTCTATTTCCTAACTCGATTGATCGATCATAGCTCTGTGTATGTATGTATGTATGTGTGTATGTATGTGAGAAATAGAAAGGAATTTATTAATCGAATTCAATTCGTATCTTACTTCCGACTGGATCCTTTTTCCATCTTGAATATTTCATCGGAAATGAAAAATTGATTTCTTTTTTTTTCCCCACTACTCCTATCTCGTTTTTTTTTCTTTCTCTCTCTCTCTCTCTCTCTCTCTCGTTACTTTTAGGTCGTACGTATGTTAGTCGTAAATTATGGAACGAGGGTGAGCCAGGGAAAAATTGATGACTCTTCCTTAGGGTGTGAGTAACTCTGCTAGGTAGAAACTTATCCTTTTTTTTCTTTTTCTCGATTAAAAGTATCAATACAAATATAATTTAAATTGTAATATACATATTACCCAAACTAACAAATCTGTTAGATCAATGTTTCGAGTTAACAAAAAAAAAAACAATTTTCTAATAAATAAATTCTATTCATCCTAAATAATATTTTTGCATTTATCAATAGGACACCTTTATAAATTAAAAAAATACATGTTGACGAAATCAAGAATGAACGAATRAACAGATAACAAAATAATAATAATAAGAAGAAGAAGAGTTGGTGATGAAGCTTTTTGTTTCATTTCAAGGGCGGGGTCGATGTCGGGGTTTTCTCATACTTCGAAATGGTGTGGTATCCGAAACTTAAGGGATGGCTGCTGAAGGGATCGAAGGGAGGGAAAAGGAAATAGAGAGAGAGAGAGAGAGAGAGAGAGACAAAAAAAATTGTAGAGTGGGGATGGAAGGTTAAGGGCTGGCTAGGGGGCGCAACTCGCGCACCTACGCAGCTTGTACACGCATACAAACACACACACACACGTTTGTCAACATAAATGTACACGCAACCAACCGCGCGCCAATCAATATCCAACTATATAGGGTGTGTGCACAAGTTCACTCGCTGTGGGAATTTAGGCGAGTCTTCGTACAATCTTCCATCCAGTAGGAACCCGACCATCACCAACAAACATACCACACCTCCTCGAAGCTTGGAATCTTAAAACACGTGCGTGTGTGTTCACTTTCTTATATATACTTTCTCTCTCTCTCACTCACTTCTATTTAATCTTTATAGTTGTACGCATGTCCTGTATGTTATATGTGTATGTGTGTGTCTGTTTGTATATGTGCACCCCCGTACCGGAGCTACGACACACGTTTCGCTTTCGTTTCAGTCTCTGTCTCCGGCTTCTCGAGACAGGAGAGCCAGCGGGATTTTAAAAAAAAAAAGGTATGGAAAATCGGATAAGAATTAACGTGAAAAAAAAAACAAAAAAAAAACGTAAACGATTTAACTGTGATTGCGCGTACGAATTAAGTTTTTATAATAATTATAAATCGTTTTAATATATATATATATATATATATTTAAATATTATTATTTATTACCCTAGTAGCACAAAATATTGAAAAATATTGAATACATCTGTATTTAATATGAAAAAGACATTGAATCTCTTTTTAATATTAAATTTATTATATTTATTAATATTATAAATATTATCAATATTTTTCGATATTTTTATGCTACTAGGGTATTTTTATTTCTTTTTCTTTGTATTTGTTTGTTATTTAATTTTTTGTTAAATATTTTATTTAATATTTTATATTAATTTCTTCCTTTTTATCCACCCCCTTTTTGTTTTCAAGCAAGAATTAATTAACTAACATTTTCCAAATACAACTTACTCGTGTTACATTTTATTTATATATTATCGATATTTTTTAAAAGGATAGTTTAAAAAAAAAAAAAAAAAAAAAAAAAAAAAA